AGTAAAAAATCTATATAATACATATAAATTTATATAATAAGCTTCTAATTTTGAAGTTTGTGTGGTATGTATCTTTTTGGGATATGACAGTATCAACTTAAATGTATATATTAATTTGAGTGGAAACTAGGAAGTAGAGATAGTACCCGTCAAGAAAATCTCTACCCGGGTATTATTAAGTTACCCGGTTATCCGGGTAATTTAGTATAGCCATATAATAAAAATGTCTACTCGGGTACACTCTCTACAAGGAAGTAAATATTTAGCATTAGATTTTAAAATCATCACAATAATCAATATCACAAGACTTTTAACCAATCAAAATCAATATAAATCATTTGATAATACTCAGCTCTAAAAATTCCTTTTTATACCCTTTTGCGCCAAAAATTCCATTTTGTTCATATATATATATGAACTTTTCCGGGTCTCTGTCCACGGTACGTTGGGAGAGTTGAACAATACCAACCATTATTACATGAACAAGAAAAGAGCGATCGTACTACTATGTCACTTAGTAGTAGATCGTTTAGTATATTCAGTGAATGTGGGGGTAATGAAGTAATTATGAATCGCGAAACTACTGTGTTTCTCTAGGGTGAAGCGCCTTTGTTATATACTTTCTTCTACTTAGGGCACATTATACATCTTATCCGTGTTTTACTGTTTATACGAATCGAATCCATTAACCATAGTAATAGTAATAGCCGCAACAAATTTGGACCGGCAGATCCTTGATTTTGATTGGCTAACGGCCGAGGATCTTCAAAAATTTGGCCCACATTACAAAATTGGTTACTAAATTCCGGCCGGAATTAACTTTTTAATTTTTTCATTACAAAAATAGAAATTCTTAAAAAATAAGCCTGCATTATGGTAAAATTGACCCAGGAACAATTTTCACTTAATGGGCGGCAATGGTCTCATTAGTAAAATTATGAGCAATTCCGGCCTAATTTTTTGATCGAGAATCTGCCGGTCTAAATTGTTGCGGCAGCTTGGTTAATATCGAAAGCGATTCTGCGCCCCATCAGTGACCACCACGTGTTTCCGGGCTCACGCTGGGCTGGGCTCGAATGATCGGTCTGTCCGGTCCGTCTTGGGTCCAATGACTGATGGTCTTTAAAAGTTGGAGCGGACGGACAACTTATTAGTCTAATTAAATGCTACATAAGTTGCATCAATATATTGCATTATTATAGACTCCATTCAAATTATTAGTTTATCACTTGTTTATTAAATAAAAGCTACTTCTAACCGAATATTTAAATATGTCTATTATTATTAGTGATGAAATACGCATGTATTTTGAGAACCATGTACATAATTTTTGTAGATATATTTTAATGAACTTGTACTGTAAGTATATCTAGAAATTAAATACATAAATATATTAAATATATTAAATTTATATCTAACTCTTGTATCAGTTATTATAATAGAATAGAGATTAAATAAGAAAAAACCCTATTAAAATTTTTAAATTTTATCGTTATTTAAACCTCTAAAAATTAACCTAATAGAGTAATATATGATAGTAAAGAGTAGCTTTTCTCAAATAACTTATGAACATATTAATACTGTATTGTAACGATTTAGTTTAAGACTTTTATTTTTTGGTTAATTAAACATCTAACCAAATTAGTATCGTGATTGAAAAAGCCACTATATGAGATTGGAGTATTCTATACATATTGGTTTAATTATGCATGCACTTGATTTACGCTAAAGAAATTTAGTTTTCCAAATTCAGAACAGTTATATGTAAGCATCAAACATGTAATTAAGTATTCGCTGCATATTACTTTATATCAACTCAACAAAAAGGTTTCTCACGACTATAATTAGATATTTTGTTTAAGTACGTACATGATCTAAATTTAATATCAGATCAAATATCGCAGAATCAGATTATATTTTATTATACTAGTGCGATAGGTGGCGTAAAGTGCCACCCACCTTATACAGAATTTAACTACACAATACGTATGTGGTTAGCATATGTTAGAATTATTGTAATGTTTATTTAATGAAAAAAAAAAATTGCTCAAAACTTACTCGTTAATACAACAAACACACTGGTTTAGATTGAGTTTGTTCGTATTGAAATTGTCACAATTTTTATTATTAATTATTGTAAAATGTTCTGTCGCTGAACTTTTTACCCCAGTAACGGTGATATGTGGTTATAATTGAGTCGACATCATGATTTTTGTAGAGTTACTGTATAAATTCTGTTACAAAACTTATTTACCATTTCAGTATGTAGTTAGGTTGAGTTAGTTTGTATTAGAAATTATATGATTTCTATGATGGGATACTGTAAAAATTCTATTACAGGACTTGCCACTCCAGCGACCATAGTATTTGATTAAGATTAGATTGTATTGGAATTACCGTAAATTTTGTCTTCAAAATTACTCGATATTCCGGTGACTGCAATTTGGTTGTATAGTATGTATTGAAATTATTTGTGATTTCTATCGTCCTATAAAAATTTTTCGAAAAACGTATCCTTATTTTATCCGGACTATCGTTTCATTATCGTTTCGGAAAATGCTTATTTTCGGAACAACTCATATACAAATTCCTCATTCTATAGAATTTTAATAAATTTTTAGTTTATGTTGAAAATTATTGTGATTTTTATCATAAATTACTGTAAAAATTCTGTTAACTTGCTGTTCTGGTGGCCATAGTATGTGAATGAGTCAGTTTGCATTTGAATTATTATGACTTCTATTGCTAATTACTATAAAAAAAAATTCTGTTACGAAATTTACTCGCTATTCAGTGACAGGAATATGTGGTTAAAATTGTTGTAAATTATTGTAAGAATGTTTGTTACAAAATTTATTTTCTATTCTAGTAATATGTCAGTATAGAGTTTGTGTGATACATTATTGTGATTTCAACTATGAATCACTGTAAAAAAATTTATTAAACTTTCTCACTATTCTAGTATATCTGTAAAAAAATTTGTGTACAGAATTCACTCGTTATTTTGATAACTACAGCATATGGTTAAGGTTGTTAATTCATATTAGAATTATTATGATTTCTATTGTGAGTTGCTGTAAAAAATCTTGTTACAAACCTTACTACTTTAGCAATACACAATATGTGATTCACTATCTAGTGATCTGATATCAAAGACGCAAAAGCGCGCATAATACACCATATCTCAATTTTCATATATGAGTGTCACCAAGCGAAAACCAGGAATTGAGAGTTTCCGAAATTAATTTTACAGATCAAACCCCGAAAAATGTAACACACCTATAATATATTTTGTGCTTAATTTGAAAATTGTCAGGAATCGGATCAGAAAGCGGAGCTGTAATTCATAGATCAAATTACGACATTAATCATGCAAACGATCAAATATCATAATAATTATTACATATTTCATTATATGATCACCAAAAAGTGCCCAAAAACCACAAATTCGTAATACGTATATGATAAAAAAAAAAAAAAAAGACTAATTTAGAATTGTAATTAGGAAAGTAACTTTAATAAGTAACTTTAATCCAAAGCTTTCCTACATTCTGATCACGGTTTTTTGGATATGTTCAATCCAGAAATTCCACACCGATCACGTTTTTTTGGATATGACCAATCAAAACGTTAAAGCACAGAACCCCAAAATTAAAGTATAGATAGATAGATAACAATATTATCCTTTCGGTCTGTCCCAAAAAAGATTTGACCGGCGGTCCATCGGTTTAAGTCGGACCACTTAACAGGCCTAGCTCGGGCTTGGGTTTATAAAATTTCTTTGGCTTGGGCTTAAATTTAGAGAAATCCGGCCCATTCCGAACCTTATAAGGAAAGTACATTTATATAGAATCGACTGTATATCATTTATCGCAACAATAAATTATGTGCTACATTAGGGTGTGCGCTAATTCGAGACCATATAAGTTAGTTATTTTTGAAGGACCCGATTTTCAACCTGACAACATCGAAGTGGTGGTGGGCAATTCAGTATTTCGATGTGAGCTATAACTTAAATTATACCATACTGACCAACTATTATATACCGGGTGGTGAAAGTTCTTTTTTTTTTTTTTACTATCTCCGCTAAGATTTATAGTACTTAATTTTGAATACAATTTCTTGCCAAATTCTAATGATACTAAATAATTTCTTTATTCTTGAGAAATTATTTATGAGTAATTATTTTGTGATTAATTGTCCATGCATCCAAACATTTCTATCCCTTATCATATTTTATATTCGTTATTTGCCAATTTATCACCTAAATTAGCCAACTAATGAATATTTACATTGTTATAAATGGCTAGTTGATTTTTAGTCATTTTCTTAACCTAAAATATCCTTTAAAAGAGAATCGATTTAATTGGTAGTAAAGGTTATTACAAAAAATTAGTGGCTAGTTTTATTAGGTCACATTGGAAAATTTCGATGTAGTTATGAGAGTTCCCACCAAAAGTACGGTCACATGATAAGACGCCACAGCAATATCTTAATTTCATTTTAAGAAATTACACAACAATAAAGCTGGCGTCTTATCATGTGCCCGTACGTACTTTTGGTGGTCTTCCTGGTTATGACATTATAAGCAAGATACGTAAAAGTACGTACTGTACATACAGATACTTAACAGCTTAAAAGCCCTAATATCCAAATTCATCCTAGTCGGTACTGTAATACAGTAACATTAAATTACATTCCATATTGGATATAGAAATAAAGCCCCTTTACTGCTTTAACGTTAAAGGCTAATTGTTCTTATATAAATTTGGTTATTGATGCATTACCTATTTTACAGGTAGTGCATATGCACTTATGTACTGTACACAGAACGCACTTACGTGCGTACGTACGTAACAAATATGCAAATAAAAGTTTCATCATTAAATGCATATAGAAATTATATTTTACTATCAAATCCCTTAAAGTTTGATATTTAAAGGAAAAAGTCCCCTTGAGGGGAATATTTCTTTCTTATTTCTGGTTATAATATTGTCGCAATGAATTTTGAAAAATCCGAAGAAAAAAGTCCTATTATTACAAAAGATGAATTAACACCAATAACTAAAAAAGAGTTAACAGGATGGTATATTCTTTGTGCAGCAGTAAGTTTCTTAGTAAACTAAATCCTTGAAGCAAAAATAAATAAATAAATCATATGAGAAATTTATTCAATTTTTTTTTCTAGAACGGGATTTATGGTGGTGCACCGATAGGAGGTGAACTCTTTTTTCTATTCGATATAAGAAGCTTGGGTATACCGTAACTAAATATATAATTATATATATGTTGCTGTATTATAGTGCTTATTCCTTTATTCCTGGAAAGTATTGCTGGTCAGGCTGGATACGAACTTGATCAAGTAACTCCATGCAACACGGCAAGTATACCATATTATACGCATAGTTTCTTTATAATTAAGCATTTCTAATTTATTAATTAATTAATTAATCAATAGGCAGTTGCCAATTATAATTGTGTTGTACGTTTTGGCACAGGTTTTATCAGTACTGAATCATACTCATTATACATAATTTCAATATCAGTAATCGTACAAACAGTCTTGTTCATTAGTTGTGGTTCTTTAGCCGATCATGGAAGTAAGTAGATTTTTAATTCATCATATAATTTATAATAATAATAATAAACATTTATAAAATTAACAAAAAGTTATACGTTATTTTATTTATAGAATTTCAAAAAATGTTCGCCCTGCTTTATGCCTTTATAGGTTCCATTTCAACGATTTTGTTTGTAACTATTACTAGTCCTCGTAAGTATTTCACATTTTTACGTTAGATGTGAAAAATACGACAAATAACTGTTGCGCTTACTTATTTACTTATGAGAATTTCTTAAAAAATTCCAATAGAATTATATTTATTGGCTGGAGTATTCGCTATTATATCGTAAGTATTTGATTAAAAGACCTTTTGTAAAATTTATATTCTCACAATAATTAAAATATTTAGGAATATTTGTTATGGAGCAACAAACATCTTTTCAGGGGCTTATATCCCACCATTTGCTCGAAGTCATCCAAAAGTTATAGAAGCAAGACTTTCAAATGAGCCTATCAGTGAAATTAAAAAGTTGGAAGACAAAATGACTGTTGATTTATCATCACATTCATTGGTTGCAGCAATTTTTGCTTGTATGTTAGTAATGTTTTCAGCGGGTGCAATTCTTATATTGACAAGAGGTTCGTCGTATGGCACTCAGGTGGCGTTAGCATTTTCAGGAGCTTGTTGGCTGGTATGTTTTAAATATCAAACTTACTGAATTTAATTAATTGAAGTAAATGGGAATATAAAAACTAAATAAATTACACGAATTATTTAGATTTTATTAATATTTCCAGTAATATGGTTAACTAATAGGCCAAAACCTCCTTTACAAGAGTATTTAATCATTTTTTCTTGTCTATTTTAATAATGGACGCTTAATTATATTTATATATATTCTAATACATATATTATAGGGGAGAAAATTATTTATTATACTCTTGGAAACGTGTAGGGAAAACGGTATTATCAACTCGATCACTCTGGCAAACTATGAAATTTCTTTTTGGCTGGTTTCTAATATCTGATGGCGTAAGCACGTTAATAGTAGTCGGCGTTTTGTTCGGTAGAAAACATCTTGGATTGACCGACATCGAACTGATTCTAATGTCATCACTAGTTCCAGTATTTGAAATATTGGGCATATATATATTTTTCTATTTACAAAAATTATTTCATTTGACTGAAAAAACTATCGTTATAATTACTTCTGTATTTGCAAGTATATTACCATTATATGTGTTATTGGGTTATTGGTTACCAATCGGATTAAATAACAGATGGGAGATTTGGCTGTACTTGGTATGGTTCGGAATTTCTATTGGGACAATATCTAATTATTGCCGAGCCCTCTTTTCTCTTATGGTACCTATGGGACATGAAAATGAATTTTTTTCTTTGTTTCAGATAACAGCAAAGGTAATTAATTTTATAAAAAAATTCTATGCTTAGCTCGTTACTATGCAATATTTATTAATTCATTCATTTTTTAATATGAACGAAATAGGGTTCGAGTTGGATAGGTAAAAAAAAAATGGTTTCATTCTTTTTTAAGCTTAAATCCTAAACCTATGGAATTATAATAGTTAAAATATTCTTATTTTTAGGAACCATTGCATCGGGAATTATTGTAAATATTACTTATGATACAAGGAGTCCTTTTTGGTTTTTACTCGTAATAATTGCCCTCCCTGCTATAATATTTTGCACAGTTAATGTTGAGAAGGGTAAGGAGGATGCCGAAAAGTATTCCAATAGAGAAAAGAAAGTTGATAATTATTAACACAATAATATTAGAATAGAATACTGTTATCGTAAAAATTTGTGTACTTTTAATTGATCTGCTTAATGTAAATTATTCATGCAATCATTTATTAAAACTATGTGATTAATTTCAAATAGTACTACAAAATGTTTGTCTTAAATTATCCTTAAAACAAAAAAGTCTTTAATAAAAACAAGATTATTGATTCAGTACACGCGGTACTCTATGATTATGAGTAACTGTTAAAGGATTTAAATAACGTTAACTTTAAATAGCAGCGTTAGAATCTCGTAAAGCGTAAATAATAAATGCTTAAAAATACGACTAAACTATTCCTCGGAGAATTGTCATAGATGGGAGCTAGCCTTAATTGTATAAAGACCACTTCTATTAAATAATTAAGTTCAAGAGCGCGGTCACTTATATGAAATATTAAAAATTAAAAAAGATCAGACAATTAAAAAAGAGAAATTTAATCGAAAAAAATTTATTAAAAAAATTGGTTTAATTAAATAAAAAATATTCGTTATTAAATTTACAACTTTATTTTTTTGACAAAAAAATAAAAAATAAAAGGCAATATTTAATTAAAAAAACCTCAGGAGTTAAAAGTTATAGACTCCAAAACTTTGCTCCAAAGCTTAATAAAACTCAATTCGAGTGGAATTACTCGGAATTTTACTAATGAAACTATCGTATGAAAAAATCAAGTTGTTAATTCTAGCCAGAAATTAGTAAACAATTGTGTAATGCGAACCAAAATTTTACAGATCACACGGTCATTAGCCAATCAAATAGAGAATATACAGTGACGCGACAGTTGATTAATTTTAGTATCCTAGCCATGGCTATTAATGCGAACGGTTCGAGCCGAGCCGCGAGACGAACGGTTAACGGCTCAGCTCCAGGCCTACTAATAAAGCATCGGCTCTAAAAACGGCTCGGCTCAAACTTTAGAGCAGATCGTGGAGCTACAAGCCGATAGGTTTATATCATATTACCATTACTAGAGCTCTCACCTGGGTCAGAAAATACCGACCCGGGCGGGTCAGGTATTGACCCGGTTTATAACTCGGATCAACGGGTCAAACGGAAATTCATAAAGTTTTTGAAGTTAAATTGATGCAACGATACTTAATTAGAGCTGTTAGTACAGAGAACTGCTGTACTCCAATTATTTAAATTGAAATTTTTCGGATTTGTATTGAAAAAATTTTTCGATCTTGCTCGTGATTTGAGTTCACCCATTTTCTACACCGGGAAATTCGTGACCTGACCCGGCTAAGATCTTTACTATTTAGTAATTATAATGCCTTCTACCTATATAGTACTGTAATATAGTGTTTTAGTAGGTTTTTGCCTACTTTAAATTCCGACCCGGTTGACCCGGTGTTACTATCGGGTTGGGAGAGCGTCAGATGATTAAGTGCCGGTTTGGTTCAGGATAGTAAACCAATTGTAAGTTTAAAAGGTTAAGGAGCGTTAATTTAGGGTGTGGGAAAAACCAATATAGGGGTACCGGGTTAGTGAGTATCGTTGCAGATACGGATTGGGCGGGTTTCTAGTTAGAGATGGATGGGGTTCTGCGTGGTATAATTTAAGAGTGACGGATTAGGAATTAAGATCTGTGGATCAACGAATTAATCCTGATTGTCGATTGTTGACAATCCAAAAGTGGATTGATTTAAGGCGTGATGGGTATCGAATGAAATTAATATGGGTCAGAGAAGCATGAAGATGTATTCACACAAGGAAAAGAAGTCCGTGAAGATGTATTCACGAAGACAACAAAGTTACTAATGCAAGATAAAAATAATAAAAATGCATTAAGATAACTTAATGCTAACAAGAAGCATGGGAATAACAATACATAGTTTTATTGATACTAGGCTCAAGTTTTTATAAAAAGACAACAGAGGTATTTGAGAATGAAGTCTGAGAATTTTATTGAAGGTCAAAAACTTTGTCTTTAGATACAATTTTGGGTTTATATAAATACTTTAAACTATTCTATTGACAGAATATCTTCTTTCCATCTTTACAACTTCAATTTGTAATTTTTAATATCTTTGTCATATCAATAAATCTCTTCACAACCAAAGAAAAGCATTTGTAATAATAAAATACTTTATGTTTATCTTTAAATAGGACATGTGTAATCAGATGACTTGGCATCAATATTTAAATTCTTCATGTTCATCTTTAGATAAATATAAACAGTATATGTGTGAATCATACGATTCTTTACATTTTGACATGGTAACTTCCTTTATTAAGTCAATTCAAGAATGTGGATATTGCTTCATTGGTCTTCTCATGAAACCATTGGACCAAGTTTCGGTAATATCTTTTTTCATATGGGGCTGTTAAATGTCAATTCATACTGGGCCAGTTCAACAATTAATAATAATCATATTTATTCTATTGAAACACTGCAACTTCTAATCTCAAACTGCTAATTATGGTAATAATAATATACATATATATAGAAAATACAAATAAAAAAATAAAATAACTAATATAAATAAAGTAAAGATCAATAGCACTACTGCTAGCTTTAAAAAGAAAAAAATAATAATTATGTAAGAGACATAATACCAGGTTAAAGTAATTTTCAACCCATGACCTAGATACTTTGCAGTAAGTGACCATCACATGGTGTGGTATATTTTTGCTTTAGTTTACAGTTTGGATTTGGGTTCATATTAGGGTTATTAGATTTATATATTATATGCAAAATTAAGTTTCTAACACTTTTTGTTAGTATTTAAAGACCAATTTAAACACCAGTTTTCGAGTATTTTTACTTTTTTCACTTTTTTTCTTCTTGCACACATGTTTTGTTTTGACACCAGACTGATCTGGAATGATTAAAATTTACAAATTCTGATTAGTCATTTTCTATATGCCATGTATGTTACTGCAAAAGTGTCTAGACTCTAGTGGGGCTAGGTAATAGCTTTAAATATTACTGTTGTTGAGTTTGAAAACGGCGAGTCTGTCGCTAGAAGACCAGAATTCTTGCGCTATGTCAATTTCAAGGCTTGAATAGAGGCGTAAATACGATTTGGCGAGTATCAAACTATTTTTGTATTTTTTTTATGGAACAAAGTTAATAACCTTTGATCTTTGCCCTTACTTTTCTTTTTATTATTTCAGGCGCATGAAAGATATGTACTTTATTAAATTTTCTTTTCTCTTTTATACATT